CGGGCCGGCGGGGGAGGGGTGGCGCGGCGACTCCTCTTTCCCTTCCAGCTGGGGCCTGCGTCCAGGAGCAGGGGCTGGGGTCTTCCACGTAGGTGAGGCCCACGGGACCCCGAGTGCAGGCCTGGAGCTGGCGAGCTCCTTATCGAGGCTTTTAGCTGTTTCATCCAACATCTGCAGCTGTGGGGGACTCCCACAGTTGAGCATGTGAAGCTGAAGGGAGCCAAAGCTAGTCCCCACCCCAAATTTTATCGATGGATACATTCAGCCCACAGAGTCCAGATGACTTTGGCCAAGGCCACGCAGGTAGGACTTGCAGGACCGGGCTTAGACCAGGGTGTCCCGACCTCGTGTTCTGCTGTCCTGCCCTGGGGCCAGGGCCCAGCTCGCTGGCAGGGGCTGAAACGCGCCCGGTCGGGGACCTAGTGAGTGTTCCCTCCCCAGGGTGTGAACTGTGACTGGGGGCGTAGCTGCACCCCCGTGGACAGATGGCGCACCTGTGAGGCCTCCCGTGGAGGACACTGCAGACTCGGTTTAGCCCACAGTTGATGCCTAAGCTGCTGAGCCGGTCCTGAGAGGAGCTTGGTCAGGACAGACCTTGCCTCAGGTGCAGGCGCAGTGCCTGCCCGGCTCCCTGACACCCCCCATGCTGGTATCGTAGGGTGCCTTCTGGAGACATCTGAGCCTGCCGGGCCTCCAGCCAAGACCTTTGGCGGTGACCACGTTTCGGATAAGCTGTTTCAGGTGTGTGCACCCCAGGTTGCCTTTTGTGCGAGTGAGGCTGTGAGGGCAGGGGAAGCCACCAGCGGTTGCTTTCTGCCGGCTGGTAAAGGGACAGGGGTCTGCCTCAGCCACCCAGCAGGCGGGCGGGCCCACCGTCCAGCCCTGGGCTTGGGGAGGGCTTTCGGGCAGGGGCTGAGTCTGGGAGGAGTGGGCCTTGGGGGTGCCCTGGGGGGCGGGAGGGTCATTTCAGGTCTCGGGGCGTTCTGTGTACGGCCGGGAGTGGGGAGAACCGGCTCGTGTGCGTGGAGGCCCAGCGCAGCTGGCCAGCTGTCACCGCCCTCCGCTGGACGCCCAGGGTTTGAGGCCAGCGGCTGCCGTGACGCTCTCGGTTACGGTTATGATGTGACATACCTGGCTGGACGTGCTTGTCTGTTTGAGAGCTTGGAGCGCACCGAAGTGGTGATTTTCACCCTTACGAAAGGGGAAACGTGGGTTTTAGGACTTGAGCCCAGCCGGCCCCGAAGCCTGCCCGTGCTGGCCGCTGCTCCGGACGACAGCCCATGGGATTTCCGTGTGGTTTCCATTACCGGCTACAAGGCGAATAAAAGTTGTTTTTTTGATATTTGGAGAAACCACACTGGCGGGTCACGTGCACGTTTGTGTTGAAGACCTCTGAGCAGTCTTCAGCGGCTGCTCTGACTCGCACGCTGTGGTGGTCTGGCGGGACGGCCCCTTCCCCACGAGCAGGCCGCCTGTCCCAGCTGGGGCAGCGGGAAGACAGCACGCCGCGGGCTCTGGCCGGCCCTGGGAGGCGCTCCCCTTGCGCTGGCCCCTGGGCCTGCAGCCGCTGAGGTTGCCAGGTAAGGCCTGGGCCAGTCTTTAGTCCTGAGCTGTCAGAGAAGGAGCCTGTCTTGTCCAGCCTCTGAGCTGCGTGGACAACGGGCAGAACTGGCCCCTCACTCGTTGGTGTGTGGTCTTTCGAAGCACGGGAAGAAAAGTGGGCAGTGCGCTCACTTTGTTTGTGGACCTTGACCAGAAACTGCCCGACATTTTTAAAAATACAAGAAATACATGTTTATTCTAGAAAATACAATAATTTGTATTTTCAAAGTCATCCATTAGCCCTGAGCCCCGAGGTAACCGCCCGTAACAAGCACATCTGACAGCCCCGTGCATGTATGCTTTGGCCTGTTCAAACCCTGGAGGGAGGAGGCGCCTTCCAGCTGCCCTGGGGGCAAGTCTCAGCGCAGCCGGGCCAGAGTTCTGAGCTCCACCTCTCCGGGGGTCTCACCCCCAGGCGCCGCAGACCCCTCCTGACCGCCCGCTGCTCCCCTCAGCAGGGGATTCAGTTCTGCTCCCCGCTCTGTCACTGGGGAGTTCTCTTACCCTCCCCCGGCACCTCTGGCCTACACCCCAGTTCTGCATGCACACATCGCACAAACATTTAAAATCTTAGAGGTAGTTTAAGTTCTGTTCTCGTTTTTCTGCTGGTGAAGTACTTTCAGAATTCCATCGAGCATAATTGGAAGACTGGATTCGATGGCCGTGCAGAGTTTGAATGGGCCTTATGTATCAGACCGGCCCCGGCAGGAGACCTGCCCAGAGAGGCAGGGCCCTGTCTCCTGCCGCCACAGGTGGGTGCTTCCAGAAAGTGCCAGGCAGGTTGCAGTCCCACCCCCAAAGGGCATCGGCAGCAGAGCAGGAGCAGAGGACTTTGGCAGGAGGACTCTGGGTTTTCAGGTGGCAGATGACCTGGTGACCGGGTGGCCGGCGTGCGTCACCTCTGAGCTGTGTTTTGGAGGAATTGTGTATTGCAGACAAGACGCCCCTGCCATGGCTCCCACCCAGGTGAGCGCCCAGAGGGCCGCCCGGGTCGCCGAGGCTGTGACCCTCACACCACTCCGAGTGGGCAGGGCAGGGCGGAGCGTCTCACCTGGCAGCTGGGAGGCCTGAGCTGGACTTGTGGCTCCGGCCAAGGAGCTTGAACCGGTCCCTGTAGCCCTGGGCCTCAGTTCCCTTCACTGCAGTTCTGGCCTTGGCTCTACAGACGCACCCTTTCATGTGACAGAATGTTCCGTCCTCGGCGTGCCCTGGGCCGGGCCGGGTGGAAACAGGATGTCGCCCGGGGCCTGGGGGAGGCCTGGCTTGGTCTCTTGACTGCTGTGTGTGGTGGTGCAGCAGCTTGTGACTTCACAGGCGCGCCGCAGGCTTCCACTGCCCCTCACTGCAACGCTGCCTCCACTCACGTCCATCACACGGCCATTAGTTGAACGCCTGCTGTGCCAGGCCCGTCGCTCCTCAGCCTGGTTTCCACGGTCACCTCACCTACTGCGTTCACAGCAGGGGAAAGGGGCCCCATGAGGGTTAGTCATCTGTGGCCTTGCAGCCAGGGAGTATGTGGTTCCCGTCACACAGCTGGGCGATTCGAACCCTGTCGGCCTCCGGAGCCGCAACTCTGACCGTCGGCTAGTGGCTTCTCATCACGAACAGAAGGGGGAGGTCTGCGTAAATGTGGCGTGTCAGGGACGTGGCCTCGGTGGCAGCCTTCACAGCTGCTCCTGCCGCGTCCCCCACGGCCCCTGTTCCAAAGATGGGAGAATGCTGCCCGGTGGGGCGAGGGGGGCGGCTCTTCTGAAAAGTCAAGGGCAAACCTAGAGCCTGTTCCAGCGTCACGGACCCCCCCACACTGTGACCTGGGCGGGTGGGATGTTGCTCCAGAGCCTCGCCGAGGGGCTTGGGCCCACCTGTGGCCCAGCCACCGCCCTGTGTCGGGGGAGCCTTCCGGCAGGTGCTGCAGCAGGGGCGTTGGGGGTTTTCCGAGGAATGTCACCTCCGCAAACCCTTCCCTTGTGGACGGGAAGATGGTGGGAAGTTCCGAGGAGTCAGGGGCGCCCGCAGATACCTGGGTGGCCACAGGTATCTGCTGTGGGGAGCTCTGTCCCTCAGGCTGCTTCAGAAAGACACGTGGTACTGGGGCCCCGCCGTTCTCAGCAGCCCGCTCCCGGTCAGCGCGCACGGGCAGTTTGCCTTCCGAACAGCCGTCCACCCTTCCACGAGGCCTGAGGGTTCACGCTGGCGTTCGCACAGCTCTCTCCGAGTTAGGTCAAACCTAACATTGCTCTGAAAGAGAAAGAAAGTAGAGGAAACTGGGTCACTGGGTTTCCATCGTAATGGCCGCCACTGCTGACACAGACCGAATTTGGGAGAAGTCTCCGGGCCAGGCTCACCTGGCCTGACTAGTTCAGCATTTCCGCCTCATCTGGCTGGTGAATGAGCGTGAGCAGCGGCTTGAATTTGCACCTTAGTCCAGGGCCGCCCCCAGGCGCGTGTGCCGGGAGGGCCTCTGGGAGAGTGTCCACACCAGAGCCCCCTCGCTTCTCTCTGTGGCTTCCTGGCGGGAGGGAGAGCTGGTTGCCGGTGGCTGGCAGGAGTGGACGGCACCTGCCCCAGCCCGCCGGCCCGCGTCAGCCTCCTGCGGGGGCCGGCGGCGTCACTGGCTCTCCGGCGTGGACAGACGTCTGGCAGGAGGGTGTTTGTCTGCGGTCGCCTGGGTAGGGATTTTCCCTGAGGATTTGGGAGTGCCGCGGAGGCTTCAATTCCCACCGAGACGCCTGGCAAAGCTCTCTCCTCGGAGCGGCAAAGGTCCAACCCCGATGTCTTCCTCGCAGTGGGAGGGCCGTGTTCGCAGGTCCATCTCCGTCGGGCCCTCAGGCCAGGGCAGGAGGGAGGCGGCGGGGAGCAGCCTAAGTGCTGGTCACGGCCCTGAAGCTGCAGCGGCCCCCTCGCCTCGGGCTGCAGAGGCTGCAGCCTGACCTTTGTGCCGTGCAGCCGTGCTCCTGGGGAAGGTGGGCTTACGCAGCGGGCGGTCGGAGACCAGCGGCAGCGTGTGCTGGTGCAGCCGAACACTGTGATGTACCGTGTCTCAGAATGCAGGTCGTATTGGGGATCACAGTTGACGGCGGGTGACTGCAATCTCGGAAAGCAGAACTTGGGGAAAGGGGACCTTACCGCACCAGCTAGGAAACTACAGGCTGCAGGCGGGGGGCGCAGGCCCCGGCCACGCGGAGCTAGGAAATGCAGGAGGTCAGAATGGCCACGTCCGCGGCCCCCGAGCAGACACCCACAGACACCCACTCGGGTGTCGCCTCCAGGGACGGTGTTTTCTGAGGCCTCTGGTGACTGTGAAGCTTTGTGTCCAGTTCAGCCTCTGGTTACATTTTCCCGCTGGCGTCCAGTACAGTCCGGCCTTCCAGTCTTACTTTTTTGCGGTCCGAAGTAACTGTCGCAGACCTGCTCACAGGCCTCTTTATTGTGTGCTCAGGGCCAATTCCAAGAAGCAGCACTTCAGGGTCAGACGTTTCTTAACACTTCGGTTCCGATCTGCCCTCTGACCGCTGTCCCCCCCGGCGGGCTTCACGGCTGCTCTGTCAGCCCCTGCGGCTGGTCCTCTCCGAGCAGCTTCTTCGCCTCCCGGCTGCCACCGGCCCCTGACCAGACGGGGTTCGGGAGACGGCGCGGTGTGCTCCCCGCCAAGCAGGTGGTGCTGAGCGGTGGGTGCGGGCGCTGTAACTGGACACTGGCACTGGAGCTGGAGGCCCCGAGCGGGCATCTGATTTCAGGGCTGCGCGGTGCGGGCGGCCTCACGCCGGCCTGGGCCCCGGGACTGCCGCAGACTCGGCCGTAGGCCCTGGCAGTGCTGGGCGAGGGGTGCGCGTATCAGCCAGGTTGCGGGGCGCGGGGCCGACTACTGGCCAGGCCATTTCGAGCCTGTCACCTTTTAAACCTGGTACCTGCAGTGGGGAAGAACCGCCGGGGGGGCCTGGTTTCTGGGGTTACTGTGCTTAGCGCCCTTGGGGCTCGGCAGGTGACTCCCCGCTGCCCCCGCCTGGGGGAGGGGCCACTTTGGGAAGCTGACCTGAGCGCTCCTGCCTTTCCTGCTGCCAAGTCCTGCCTCAGGCGCTGGCTCGTCCCCTGTCAGGCCCAGGTGCCCGTTGGCGGCCAGACCAGCTCTCCCGCCCTCCGGGCTTCCCGCCCCGCTCCTGTCTGCTTGCCTGCAAGTCTGGACCTCGCCGTCTGGGGCGGGACCCAGGGGACCGTCCCCTCCCCGCGTGTCCGTCTGCAGACGCTGGGAGTGCCTGCTGCCAGCGTGGCCTGGCAGCTGCTGGCCATGCCAGGGGCGGCCGCGGGAGGACCCACCGTCGGTCCCGGCCCCGCTCGGTGCCCCCAACCTGCCCGGGCCTCGGTGCCCCCAACCTGCCCGGGCGTCTGCTCCCAGGATGCCCCTTCTCTGGCAGCTGCTGTCCGAGTCCGGAGGAGAGAGCTTGCCCCTGCCCCCTGCAGGGACTCGCGGGGTGGGGGGGGAGTAGTTCCTGGGCAGGCAGGCCACAGATATCGGGGGTTGGGGTGGGAGAGTAACTGGACCCCAAACAGCTGCTGCGCCAGGAAACACGGTAGTTGAGAGCCACCGCAAGTGAGCACCCTCGAGGGCGCAGAGGGCGCGTGACAGGGCCCCCCGCCGGCCTCGGGAGCTCGGCTCCACCCGCGGCCGCAGAGGGCAGGGGACAGGGCCGCCCGCCCCGGCCTCGGGAGCTCGCTCCACCCGCGGCCGCAGAGGGCAGGGGACAGGGCCGCCCGCCCCGGCCTCGGGGGCTCGGCTCCACTGCGTGGCGGGGGGCTGTGTCCGGGCGTTGGTTGGGGTGTCTCTGCCCATCCCAGCGACAGATCCCGCCACTGCGGCTGGAGGGGCAGCGCCAAGCGCCCCCGCCCCGTCGCGCAGCGTCCACTCGCTGTTGGCTCCCACTGGGCTCCGCCGGCACCGACCTGCCGCGGGGTCGGGCTGGGCGACTGGCCGGGCCGGACCCGCCCTCCCGTGGCCCCTTGGTCTGCGCCGCTGCGTCCCGGCTCTCACCCTGGGCCACCCTCGCGCCCCCCGCTGCACCCCAGACCCAGCACCCCACTGCGCTGCCTTCTCTTAGCCAGCCGCACTGGGCGCTTCCTGGCGCAGCGCAGACCCAGGGTCCTGCCCCTGGCGCCTGCGGCCCTCGCCCAACGCCCCCCCCTGGCCTGGTCCATTCGCCTCTCCACTGCGCGGGGCTCTGGCCCTTGGCCTCTCCGTCCTGCTGCCTCCTTAGTTCTCCTGCCGTAGTTGGGGGGGGGGGTCCCCTTCCCTGCTTTTCACGTTGTGGCCAGTGACCTGACGCAGCCGAGCCCGGCTCTGACCTCGTCTGGCCCCGTGGCTTGAGGGGCCCACGCTCCCGCGGGCCCTCGCACGTCCACGCAGCCGCGCGGGACGGAAGCTTCTCCACGCCTTCTGGCCCCGCCTCCCCGAGGAGCCTTCTCCCTCTCGGTGTCCCCGCGGCGTTTTGAGGGACAGCGCCTCCTTTCGCATCTCCCCGGCCCTGGAGGCTGCACAGCCGCTCGCACGCACCTGGTGTTGGCTGCTGAGCAGCCTCTCCCGGGCCTGGCCCTCGGGGCGCCCGGCGGTCAGGTGCCTGCCGCTCCCGGGCCTGGCCCT